GTTGGGGCACAGGTACGACAGATAGTGTAGAACCTTCGGGCAGACTACTTAAATAGGCACTCAAAAGGTGCACGTGTAGCTTGATGTACCATCGTTGTAATTACATATAAAACTTCGTCTATACTCTAATAAAAAGTTTCCCAGACCAAAGAAATCACCTTAATACCAAAAAAAAAAAAAAAAAATTTGTATTCCCAAGTCCCCTATCCTCAAGATTCATATTCTCAAGATTTGTATTCCCAAGACCCCTATTCTCAAGATTCGCATTCCCAAGATTCATATTCCCAAGGCTCTTATTTTCAAGATTCATATTTCCAAAACCTCTATTTTCAAGAATCAAATTTACAAGAATCAGATTTACAAAAATCAGATTCACAAAAATCAGATTCTCAAGAATTATGCCTTCAAGATTCATATTTCCAAGATTCGTATTTTTTTTATTCTCAAAATTCATATTTCTAGAATATAAATATATAAATAAATAGATTTTAAATTTGTTAGTGTAAAGACTTTTATTCAAAACTTAGCTGTTACAATCTTTTGTAGTTGAAATTATTTTCATACAACCTCTAGCCTGTAATTAATACATTATTTAATTAGCTTAAGTTGATACCTATGTTTCTATATAAATTATTAATATATACTTTGAACTGTGCTCATATTCAATATAATGAATATTTACATATTGAATATAATAAACCTCAAATAGAGAGTAACATTAAAACTCGAAATAATACAGTAATAAGTATCTAAATTTTAATTACAATACTATAAACTGATTACTGAAAATTTGTGCCACATGTTAATTGTGATCAGTGAAATTAACTAAAATAATAAAAAAGGAAATCAGAGTACGGTTGTGAGATAGCATTGTATTCAAGAAGTCACGACTAGAGGTATTAACGTAATGCCATAATTGATCATAATTATAATGAATTACAGCAAAAATGCTATAATTCATTATCTTGGCTGCGAGTTTGGATTTCTATAAAAGTTGTTCTTGGATAAGTTTATCAAGCTCTGAGAATTAATACAATAAATAATAATAATTTATTAGTTAATGATTATCTATAATTTTTTAAGTGATCCGTAAAATTAATAACTAGAATTTGCTTTGGTTTTAAATAACTAAAATTTATTTAGATAATCACAATAAAAAATATTTTTTGCTCTTATCCAAAACAATATTTGTATAATGAAACTGCAATTTAGAAAAACAAAACCATTAACAAACTATATTCACACATGCTTTGAGTAATTTTCCTATATAATTATCACCTTAAACAAATTTAGTGATCAAGAAAAATTTTAATTACCTTTATATAGTTACTAAAATATTTGTATTTACTATTAAAGTGATTATATAGAGGTTTTTTAATATAGTCACACCTTTTTATAGTCACCTAAAATTTGTTTCCCAAACCAGTGACTATAACGAGGTCTGACTGTATTAGATTTTTTAATAAATTTTGTTATATAATTTAGCAAAACTAATAAATAGCTAATAAAATTTTATTATATATAATAAATTTAATATGATTGCTAAATTAATTGATAATTATAAATTGAATAAAAGATACAAATTTATTTAATTTAATCTATCAAGCAAAGCATTAATATCAAAATTAGGATCACTATAATTAATAATATCAAAATTATTAAAGAAAAAACCAGAGAAGAAACTCTTCCTAACAATTTCTTGTACCAAAATCACAAAAATTTTTTTTCAAAAAAACAGTAAACTATGGTAAAAAAGAAAGAAATAAGACTGGTCAAAACCATAAACCGGCACCTGTTACTTAGAGATAGTTCTTATATACTACAGTCAGACCTTTCTAAATACAACCCCCCTAAATGCAACACTTCTCTAAATACATGATAAAAGACTAGCCCTATGATGGAATTTATAAATAAATGCACGTTCTTTATTCTGCAATTGCATGCTAATTGTCTAGTCTACTTATAAAAACTCTCTCCATAAATGCAACTACGTGATTATCGGCCAATCAAATTCATCATTTCTAGGCTACTAAAGCCATATTTATTACATGATAATAGTAACATTATGATTTTATTAGTGTTCTCTAATTGCAACCCTCTTTAAATGCACACTCTAGAGCTGGTCTCGACAACTTGTATTTAGGAAGGTCTGACTGTACCTGCTAATAGGCCTAGAGCTTATTACTTACCATGGGGATGATACTTGTTATTTAGAAGTAGTTCTCATATGCTACTTGCTAACAAGTTTAGAGTTTATTATCTATTGACAAGAAAATCAGCAGTATACTTGGCTTTATATGTTTTATTGGCTTTGAAAAAAAATATACACTCTTTTAAAAAAAGTATAAGAGCTATACTCCACACTATTATCCACTTACTTTTTTAACAAAATTTTCATAAAAAGTGGACAAAATAGCTTAGGCTATATAAAATTAATTTCTTGTTTCTCATAATATAAAATTTATAAACTAACCCGCCTGCCCAAATTTTAATTTACAAATCTTAAAAATTTTAAAAATTTAAAATTATAATTTAAAATTTTAAAAACCGGAAATTTATAGCCTAATTTTATAACTGTAAAAAAGATCTAAATACTAAAATAACAATCATATTAATACTTTATTTCCCGATTTTACCAAATTGGTATAATAACACCAGTGATAAATATTGCATGATCATATGCATATGTATTATCTTATTTAACACGTATTTACTTATAATATCGATATCTCAATATGTTATTGGTATACAAGATCTGTACTTGTTTTCTGCATCATATTTGTAGTATATGATCAAATTGTTTATTAACCAAGAAAAAAGATTTCAATTCTGGTTGGATTACACAAGAATCATGATTGGCTATATCAGAACAATTTTGCCTGAAATCACTCAAATTACCATTTTGTATTTACTAACAGTAAAAATAATGTCTAGCTAATAACTTTGTTATAAAATGTGTTGTCCAGTATTAAAGCCAGCACTAGTGATAGGGCCCAAACTATTAACACCGTATTTATAACAATTAATACTATTATGGCAATTAAAAATTGGTACATATTCAAGTTTTGCCAAAACCTGCCGAAATCCTAAATTCCAAACCAGTTTTGCCAATTCAGCATACAGAATGTGCCAAAACTATCAAATTTGGGTCTTATCACTAGCTGGCACAAATTTGATCAATTTCAATACAGAATTTGAGAATTATCCTGTATATGAAATTCACAATAAGCTCATTACATAACAAAGCCTCGAATGCTCTTTGTATACAATTAAACAGTATAGCTTTCATTCATATGTAAAGCCCTATCTGTTTCCATTAACCAATTTGTATTTAAGATCAAATATAGTAGAAGAACTCCTTTAATAAAATTGATTATTAATTAATTGATTTATAGTAAAAGGCCTCTATATTATATTTATCCTCAAGACTCATCAATGAGTTTGTACAAAATAGAAACAAAAGAAAAGAAATGTTAGAATGTTAGCGATGTAAAAAAACATGTTAGAAACAAGAAATTAACTAATCAATTTGTCCATAGTCTAGCGCCAAAGTCCAATTATCACCTTAATGAACTAAAAAAAAAAACATTGTTATAACAAATAATAGTATAAAATTTATTGAATATTAACAATCCAATAAAGCTAATTCTCAACTATTCACGAACTTTGTATAATTGAATATTCATTTTAACTGTGAATATTCACGAATCCCACTTCTAAATTAAATTACTGCTCTGTTTAGTTATTTCAAACTAGTGATGGGTTTTATGCACATTTTATCCCATCAAGATTTCTCTCATCTCGATCGTTTTTTCTTTTTTTATCATACGATATCATGCACATGTTATTATAATATGTGCATTTTTCCCATCACTACTTCAAACAAAAAGCATATATTGTATATGTATATACAAGTACTGCCAAGGGAAAATGAGACTTCAGGATTTCAATTATATAACATATCAGAAAAATCTTTGTCATTGATATAAATGATAATATGCAATTAAACTTCAATTGTGTGATAAATAAAAAAGATTTTTCTGATATGTTATGTAATTGAAATCTCGAAGCTCTATTTTTCCTTAGTAGCACCCATATGGGAACTTATTAAAAAATATAAAAGAGTTGAATTCTACAAAGAAAATCTAAATTTCCCACTGATCAGATCAGCCCTCACCTTAGAAAAATAAACATTATTGCACAGTTATCATCCAAATTGGTGTAAAAATACTAAAAATTGGCATAAAAAGTCCAATTTCCATTTCCCCTTTTTTGGTATAAAGTGATATATATATATTAATATTCTCAAAATAAAAAACAAGAATTCTTACTTGAATATTATGTTGCCTTGAGCAATAAATCTAATTAAAATAAATATTGATCATCTCATTGGTAAATGGCGAAAAAATCCAGTATAAGGAATTGTATAAAACTTGCCAGTATACCTGTATTAAAAAAATCAAACTGGTAAAAAAAAAAAAAAAAGTAAATAATATATTGATTTTACAATAATAATAAATATTGCCAAAAAGCAATTTTCAGTAAAATAAATAAAACTTGAGGAAAATAAAATTTTTGCCTCAAACATGTCTTTCGTAAATGTGCGTATATCAAAAAAAAGAAAAATTCTGTATGGATGGTATATACATCTGATTCCATATGAGATAATGGTTAAAGAATTTTTTTATAAACTTATTAATGATGAGATATCGCCTAACATGCCAGTCAGAATAAGTGATTTCGAGAAAATAAAACGTGTTGAACTAAGCAAGTCAACTAACACAGAAAAAATACAAGCAAACTGTGATTGTAAAATCATTGAACTTACTAATTAATTTGGCAAAAATATCCATTATTATCTTTGTGAAGGTGAATTACAATTAAATAATTTATCTACACATCAAAATGCATTTGATATTATTATGCAGTTAGCTCGATCAACCCAATATGACCAACTCTACGTTCCTAAATTTTTATATTCTTCAAAGTCAAATCGTAAGCAACTATTATATTTAGACATTGTAAAATGGGTTCAACAACATGAAGGTGGTTGGCAAATACAAAAAGTTGCAGATAATGAGGAGAAACAGTTTATTATTGCATTATCAGATGCACTTTGGTATGTAGACATATATGACAATACAAAACTACAAGAAAGAGGCTTTCATATATCTCAATTATTTAATGAATTTCTTGGCCGAGCAAGCCCTGAATCGTATAAAGAGGCCAGAAAACTCTTCGATGCTAATAAACTTAATCTCTATTGCCAAACACTTGTTTCATATACTATATCATTATGGATACAGTCATCAAGTTTTAGTTGGCTATACGATGCGTATGATAAACTTATAATCGCAATTTCTAATTATGTAAAATACTTACTTAAGCAGCAGGAAATAGTAACCCAAAATTATTTAAGCGAAGTTCCTGTTAGAAGTATTGAAAAAGGAACATTAATAAATGTATATAATCGTAATATTTGGATAGACTCATATATAAAATCCAAATATAGAGAGATTGAAAATTTATTACAGAACCTTCCTCTGTGGGAACCAATTAATATTGATAAATATCTACCAACAGAGCCAATGTAAGCCTATTGTTTTAGTATATATTATTTATCATATAATATTAATGCTTAGCTTTTTTAGACAATGGTTACGTTTTATCAAAGGTCTTTTTCAAGCATTTCCATTTCAAATTAGTGAATACCAATATAATTCTGGAAATAATGCATATAATACAATCTCAATATGGAAAATTGAAGATGTTAGTGAAACAAAAAAAGTGCAAGAAACAACAAGAATTATAAGGAAGTACAAGATGAAGCTCCCCAATATCATTTACGCACAATGAAAGCCAATTACTTACGCACTTGTGACTTGTTATTACCAAATATTAAACCAGCACCATTACGAATGATTTATCGGATGCTAACAGGAGATGCCTCTGCCGCTAAAACTAAAAATGAAAAAAAAATAGATGCATGAGTAAAACTTGCCTTAGAACTTGGTGACCCTAATATTATAATTGATTTGAGAGAATATAATGAAGGAAGGCCTGGAAAGTATGATATGTTTTGGGATACGGCTACCCGTTTTCTTGCAGGAAAGGCTGCGGATTTAGTAACTGCAGTAGATGAGAGATGCCATGATCCAATTGTGCATCTTGCAACAGCCATCTCAGTAAACGATCTACTTCAGCAAATTAAAGGGGAATGTTTACCTGATATACCAATTCCTAGCACTCAATGGCTTAGGCTACAATTCTGGCCAAAAAACCCCAGGTATTTAAGTAGTCTACAATATACGGGCCGTTTACCATTGAAATTTATGATACAATCTTGGCAACTACATACCACCCACCCTGACGCTCACTATGCATCCACGTTATTTCGATATAAAAAAAAATTTGCTGTTAAATTTCGTAACATGACGACACTTGCATTTCTTGACGACAAACACTGATGTAAGATTGGAGAATCTGGGTATTCTGTAGCAGCAATAGAAAGAAGTAAAAGAGTAATAATTAGAAAAGATATGTCATTTGCAGTAGGTGATCATGATTTCACCAAAACCGGGATGGTACCAAGCGTTGTGATGCTTTGCAATATTCCTGAAACAATAAATGGCGATTTCTATATAGAAAAAGTAAATATTGGATTAAAAGATCCAATTTTCCAACCCTCATCTCTCCTGTGTCATATGACAGAACTTCACAATATCCTCTTAATACAAGAAAAAATAAATCCTATTTTGTGTCTTTATACTAATAGTGGTCCTGATCACCAATATACATACTTACGAGTTCAATTATCATATATTTGCCTTTTTTTAGCATTTGATCTTGATTACCTTGTAGCAGTAAGAACGCCACCTTTGCATTCCTAGAAAAATCCTGTAAAGCGTATTATGTCCATACTTAATCTCGGATTGCAATGTGTTGGACTAATGTGTACCAAGATGGATGACAAGTATGAAAAACTTATTAGCAAAGTAAATACTATGAAAGAGATATGAGAAATAGCCGAACTTTAAAAGATGAACTTATCCAAAGCATCCAGGACCTAATTTATCTTGTTTGCGAAATATTTGAGAGACAATCTTTAAAGGGTAAACCATTTAGAACATTTAGTGCAGCAATAGATGAAGACATTAGAAAGTTCTAGAAAAACATTAACCTAATAGATGATGCAATAACATATGAGAACCATGTAATGAAAAATATAAAAAATAAGGTAAATATGTAGGCTTAACTAAAACATAAACAAATACTAACTATACTAACTATAATCTCATAAAGCCATGCCTAAAGGAATTCTTTGATCATTGCTGTACAGCAAGACATTATTTTTTCATGTTAAAAAAATGTGGAGAAAGTGATTGTTCAATTTGCCTATCTCCTCAGTGTCCACCTGAGATATTTGCTCAACTTCATCGTCTTCCTGATCTAATTCTGGGAGAAGGTCTTTACTACAAGACTTTTGAAGAGCTTTATAGCACTGTGACTACAGAAAATTACTGACCTTCATGACAAATGGCAACTTCCAAAACAAAATCCAATAAAGGAAAAAATAAAAAAAAAGGAAAAGTTAATCATACGATGCCCTTCTGCCCTTCTGTATTACATGCTAAGAATGTTGGAATTACTGTTAACTGCATGGAATGTAATAAACCATGGCTCTTGTTCAGCTCAAAAAAATTATCAGACAAAAACCATCAAATACTTGCACAATTCCTAGATACTATTTGGTATACATGTGGTGCAACATTTAACAATATGCGAGAGTTATCACTTGCTACATCAGTAGCATGATCCATACAATATTATGAAGTAAGTATGCTTTCTGATAAGCATAAGAGCAACGATGAGGTAAATTCAGTTGCCAGTCAAAATATCAACGATTTGTTACCTTCCATACCAGCTACACCAACTGACCAACACCATGAAACAGATATACTTTCTGAAAAATATGGTAACAGCAATGATGAGATGAACTCAGTTGCCAGTTCTAATCAGTATTATCCAGAATATGCTATTAGCGATGTTGATGATATTGATAGTGTTGATGATATTGAAGATATTGATGATATTAAAGATGTCGAAAGTGATGATAATAAGCAGAACGAACAAGATGATCACGAAGAAAAAAATGAATTAGAAGATTCTTACCCTAAAAAGCATGGTAAAAAAAGCACAGAGAACGTAATTGATGACCCTATCCAGGAAATCTTCAAGTATGTTTTTGTTAACAATTTCTGGATATGTGCTTCCCCTGTTGAAAAGCCATATTATTCAGCAAAAATCTATCCCAGCATTTGTTATCTATGTGGTGATCCCGATGTTACTTAGCCTATGTCAAAAGGTCTATTACCAACTTGCAAAAACTGTTCTACTATAAATAGTTTAACTAAGCATCATGGAAATAAATTAGTTAACAGAAGAAAAATTAAAAACTCTTCAGGCAAAGCTTAAAATCACATTTAGGAAATGTAGCATCAACTAAATAATAATTATCCTATTACAGTCCAAATTTGTAGTAACATAAAATTGATAATTAAAAATAGTGGTCTTTTATTAAAGTTAACATTGTGATACTATTAAACATTAAATATTCAAGTTTTAAAAAATATCTAAATTAGTGGACAATACTTAGTGTTCATGTAGATTAAAATGCTAATAAAAGTTCATTTTGATTTTAAACGATTGAGAAAGAAAATAGGTAACTTAACCTGGTTATAAACAAGTAAAAAAAAATTTTTTTTTTTTTTTTAAAGACGAACAGCACTACATATAGTATAGTATTCCCCAAGCGATTTGTGCGATGAGGTATTATAGGTACTATAGGCAGCGCTGTACTTGAAAACTTGCATACACATATAATGACATAATTGTTTTTTAGTCAGTGAATTATTTTTTATTTAATTGGCTATCGCTATATAGCGTGATAATAAAATTTAAATTTTTATATAATAATCTTATTTTATGACCCGCATGCGACCCGGTATAAATTGTTATATTTAGAAAATAGTAAAAGTTAAAATTTTTAATTTATTTTTATGACCCGGCCGGGTTATGAGAAACAGAAAAATTATTTTTTTTGGCCTTATTTCCATCAAAAGATCAGCATTGTTTACTTCATACAAATTGGAACATCGCAATAGATTGCAACCACGTGTTTTGTTTACTGACGAATATGGTGCTACTCTATGTGATAAGGCCTCTATCTAATAAGCCACATATGAATGTTCAGATAGTCAGAAAGAAATTTTCTGTTAAGGCATAGCTTTACAGTAGAGATATACAAATGTTGCATTTGGTATATAATTTTTAAGCCTAGTATAGGTTATAATCATCAGGAAGTTTTGAAAGAAACTAACTAATAGGATATGATGTATTGCTTAACAAACCCTATATAGTTTAACAATTTTTACTAATAAAATTAGTATTAAACAATAGAGGTGTGGTAAATAACTATTTACCGGCAATTTGTCACATCGTTGTTAATTAACATTAATTTTATTAGTAAAAAGTATTAAACTATATAGGGTTTGCTAAGCAATGCATCACACCTTGTAAGTTAACACTTTCAAAACTTTCTGATGATAGTGCTACTTAAATTGTGTTTGTTTCTTTCTTCTTTTATATTTTTTTTTATCTTTTTTTAGTTATAATAGAATAGAGATTAGGTTCTACTTCTTGTCTTTTTTTTTTTTTTT